GGTTAGAGAGAGATACAGATGAGCTGCCATAGGTTCATTCTCTCACTAGTATAACAATCGATCATGTCTGTACAATTCCATGGAAATGGCATACACAAGAAACTCTGACAAAGAGAGAGGTCCAAAAGATGTTTCAGAGAGAGAGAGAGAGAGAGAGAGAGTGGGGCTGCTATAGGTTCATTCTCGTCACAACAATGGATCATGTTTGTACAATTCCATGGAAATGGCAGACACAAGAAACTCACTGACAATAAAAAAGTACGAATAAAAGCCATGAAGATGCCTTCTGGTATCCATTTCAAAAAGATAACTTCTACTATCAACAGGTTGCAAGAGAGCCATTGTTACTTTACAAGGTTTCCTGATAACATAATACAATTGTTCTGGCAAGGTATAATATTAGGGTTAGCAATAAGAGGTACTGGAAGTAATAGCAATTACATAAATGGTTGGGTTGTGCAGATAAACCTAGAAAACCTTAAGTAATTTATCCATGTAACTCCACTGTTGAGTAAGCCAGTGCCCTATATTCTGCATCAGACTTCTTAAAGAGTCTATCTCACACAAAATTATCTGCGAACCCAGGGATCCAAGAACACTAATGCCATCCGGGAATTAGCAAAATCAGCATCTACGAAAGGGATGGCCCTCTCTAAAACAATAATAAAGAAGACTTTCAATTAAGCTTTTTGGTATCTCTCCGTAATACATTTACCAATACAAGGAGTATGCATTTACATACTGGTCCGACAGTCTCAAACAAATGTTTGATGGATTTGCCAATATAACTCTTGCTTGAGCCTGAACTAGCTTGTGAAGTGTCTGCGTAAGAGAGAGAGAGAGAGAGAAAGAGAGAGAGAGAGAGATTCAGTATCAAGTATATAACGAGTTGAATTTTCCCACCAGAAAATATAATACGCATCCATCGTGATGACAAGTGGGTCATTGATTGTTCAACCACTGTGCGCATAGATTGGAAACTGATGACCCTCCATCCAGGGGAAGAGTACCTTCTCCTTAGTGATTTTTTTATTTATATCATTTCACAATTTTGCACATCTTATGCGAAGAAATGAAAGTTAAAGTTATCAATAAAAAACAAAAGAAGACGGTCATGCAAATTTATTAAAGGATAATTTATCAAAATACACCAAACTTTTCAACAATTCAACAGTACCTTTTTCAACTATTCCAACTTATGATAATGTGTATTTGATGGGTATTTTGAAATTAAATCAAAAGATATGGTAAGATGCTAAATAGTTGATCTCTTATGTGTGTATTACATGCATGAATAAGGGCTACAGTATACAGACCTTAATCTCAATTTTGCCAACTCAGATCTCAAGATCAAATGAAGAGAGAGAGAGAGAGAGAGAGAGAGAGAGATGTGTTCATAGAGTCAGGCTACTACATCCAAGTTTCTATAAAGATGAGTCCTTCATAAGGTAGGAATCGAAGTAGGGCTTGAGCAGTTAGCAGTGGAGATTGAGGTAGGGCTCGAGCAGTTAGCAGGAATCGAGGTAGGGCATGAGCAGTTAGCAAATACTAAATCTCAAATTCCATTCCTACTGCTGAACTATCGCCCCCCCTAAAAGAAAAGTCCTTCATAAGATATGCAATGTCCAAGCTTCAAAGTGAACTTCACAAGACTACTATTCCAGTTCACATAAAAATTAATGATAAGGGGAGGAATAAAAGACGTGCGACATATACACTGTTTAAAAAAATGGATCAATGAGGCAGATTGTCCAACCCCAATCCTGGTCCAGATCAGCTGGATCAGCAATCCAGATTGCTCTCAAATGATCTGATGGATCGGTGATCCAAAAATAATTTAAAAAATAAATGAAATAAAATAAAAATTAAAATAGAGGTTTATGGGGGTGGGGATTTAGGGAGGAACCACATAAAACATTAGACAAGCTTAAAGAAACAAAAAAAAGAAAAACATGAAAAGAGTAGTTTTAGGGGGGAACCAGGTTAGAACCCATACCATTCCAGAACAAGGTCGGTCCTGATTGATTCTGCATCCGGATCAGTGACCCAGATTGAAAATTATCGAGTTTTAATACACTGTTTATACTGCATATGCACAAGAACTCCAAAACACCCCTCTCTATTCTCATTTTCTAAATTCAACTTGGAAACCTCCACAAATATCCTCTATGATCTGTTCTACGCCATGATAAGCTCATGTCATCATAGGTCTCCAACATTCATGAAGATTGTTGCTCCTTAGCAGCCTCAGATATTGGTTTCTGATTTTAGGAGCAGAAGCCAGTTTTGTCCATAGCCCTCCTGTTTTTTTGTTCTTTTTCTTTTTCAAAGCTAACCCTCAAATTCATATTCAATTCATACTTTACATTTATATGCACGCACGTGCGCGCGACACACACACAAATGGCTGCTATATCCATGCTAGATACTTTCAAATGACAAACAAACTGATGTACCCCATGGTCTTAGCCTATCCATGAAACATAAGTTTATATCATGTGCAGCTTTACATCTAATGCCCTAATTTTGCAGTCCAGGATATCCTCTTTCTTCCCTGCTCTCAGGGCCTGTTTGGATGCCACATAAGTTGCAGACAAAGAGGTCCTATAAAAGCAGGCCCTTCTCCTTGGTGTCTGGTGTAGCACATCCATACACAGTGAATCCGTGTTTTTTGTATGTTATAATCGATAATTTGGGACGCTCATCCCCAATAAGGCAGCTCAGTTCTGCGACTTATATGGCACATCCAAACTGACCCTTCTCCAATGCATTCAATAACCACGAAATAACTTCTTCTCAGACATACATCCATAAAATTTCCCTTGTATGCAAAAGATCCCAAGTATGCCACTATTGCAAAAGGCACAAAGGATATATTTTTGCGGAACTTCTTCGGACATGAAATAAAACAAATCCTCCCCCCCCCCCCCCGCCCCACCACAAACACATACACATACACAACCAAAATAAATAAATAAATAAATAAAATAAACAATATTTTAAAAAACAGTCTGCCCGGCGCCTAGGCGGCCAGGAACAAAATACCGCACACCTCGACCCAAGCAACCCAAGCAACCCAACACGGGCGGTTGTACCTAGGTGGGTGCCTAGGCGGCGCCCAAGGCCATAAGGAGTTTTCGAATTTTAAAAGGGAAAAAGGAGTCATTTTGACCCCCAAGTTTGTATACAAAGGTTATGGGGTTTATTTTTGAACCCCCAAAGTGAAAAAACAAGAAACCCTCAATCTCTAAACTTATTTATGAGAATCTGAAGTAATTTCTGAGAATCGAAAGTACTTTTTGTGGATTGAAAAAGTTTTCTTTTCTCATTGAAATTATTTTTAGGGTGCTATTGGTGGCATTCGAAGACTTTTGAGTTAATTTGTAGCTCGATTGAAGTAACCAAAATCGAAGATCAAAGATTGGGAAGAAAAGGTCAGTTTGTAATCTTTATTTGAGTTTTATTTTTCCAATTTGAGCTGTCTTCTACGGGGTCTAGTAGGAATGAAGATCCGGGATGAAAATATTGTGTTAACCCTGATAAAAATGTAGGAATAAAATTATGTGCAATTTCTGTGGACATGTTTCTAATGCCAGTATAAATAGTTTTGAGAAACATCTTGCTAGTATTAGAGGTGATGTTGCCCACGTAAGAAAGTCCCATATCTTGTAAAGAAATAAATTTTGGAATACATTGGAGGTGAAAAGAGTAAAAAAATTGCAAAAAAAAAAAAGATATAGCAGAATTAAAGTCAGGGGTCCATGTTTTTTATGATAATATTGACACTGAAGAAGAGGATGAAGAGGGCGAAAAAGAGGTAGCCATGGTTGGTACTCAGAGCTCTAATAACAAGAGGGATTTTATGTCTAAAAAGCCTCGTATGAGAGGGCCTATAGATAGGTTTTTTACACCTAGCCCTGAGACAGCATTTGAGAAAGGCAAGGGAGGAAATGGGAAAAAACAAGTGACAATTGAAAATAGATTTAAGAAAGAAGATAGAGCTAGGGTGATTCAGTATATTGCTCGATGGTTTACCAAACGGGTATTTCTTTTAACACTGCTCGCTTGAATAGCTTCCATACAATGTTGAAAGCAACTGGACAATTTGGGCCAAGTTTGAAAGCTCAAACACCTTATAAGATTGGAGAGCCACTACTGAAGAAAGAAGTTGAGTATACTAACGAATATCTCAAGACCCAATAAGGATGGATGCGCTAAATTTGGGGTTTCTTTAATGACAAATATGTGGAGTGATAGGAGGAGGAGTAACATGAATTTGTTAGTAAATTATGCCACGGGTACAGTTTTTTTGCGCTCAATTGATGCTTCCAATGATATTCATGATGCGCATTATATATTTTCTTTCATTGATAAGGGCATTGAGGAGGTTGGGGAGGAACTTGTAATTCAAGTGGTCACAGATAATGCTGCTCCCAATCTAACTGTAGGTCATTTGCTTCGACAAAAGAGGCCTCATATATTTTAGACTCCTTGCGCTGCACATTGCATAAATCTTATACTTGAGGCCATTGGTGAATTGCTTACTATTAAAGGAATTATTTTTAAGGCTAATGAGGTTACAATCTTCATATACAGTCACATACTTACCTGCATGATGCTCAAGTTTACAAAAAAGAGAGAGCTAGTGAGGCTTGGGGCCACTAGATTTGCCACTGCCTACCTTAATCTATAGAGCATGTATAAGAGGAGGATCGCATTAAGGTCTATGTTTGCATCAGAGGAGTGGAGTAGGTGCAAGTGGTCTAGAGATGCCAAGGGAAAGAAGACACGGGATATTGTTCTTTCCAAATATTTTTGGCGTGGGGTGAAACATGTGATATTAGTATTTCTTCCCTTAGTGAAGGTCTCGCGCTTGATTGATGCTGATAAGCCCTCCATAGGTTTTATATATGATGCAATGGAAAGGGCTAAGAATGAGATTGTAGAGAATTTGGTCAATAATGCAGCCAAGTATGCCCCAATTTGGGAGATTATAGATGACAAATGGGATATGCAGCTCCATAGACCATTGCATGCAGCAGGGTACTACTTGAACCCCAAATTCTTTTATGCAGATGCGGATATTGAGTCAAAAGGTTAATTATGGAAAGTTTTAATGAGTGCCTTGAGAAATTAGTTTCCGGTCCATATATCCAAGATAAGATATCAACTGAAGAGTTAATTTCGTACAAGTGTTCTTTGATATCATTTGGGAAAGATATGGCATTAAGACAGAGAAACAAAGACGAACCAGGTAGTATACTTTTGACTTTTGTTTTATAAATTATAATTTTCTTTCAAGTTTCAAGTTCTAATAATGTTAACTACCTAAATTAATTATAAAGGTTGCCCACATATTGTAGCCCAATGGTGGAGACAACATGGGAGTAGCGCTCCAAACCCCTAGAATATGGCTACACAGATCTTGAGTTTGACAACTATCTCTTCTGGTTGTGAGCGCAATTGGAGTTCGTTTGAGATGGTATTTCACTATTTTACATTTTTATATGCTTTTCTTGTTTATAAGTTCATTTTGTAATATAGATTCATAGAAGGTAAGAAGATCATAGACTCATAGTAGTTTCTTATACATTTTTCCTTAAAGGTGCATATAATGAGAAGAAATAGGCTTGAACAAAAGAAGCTCAATGACTTGGTTTTTGTTAGAGAGAATCAAAGGCTCAAGGAGAAGAAAAAACAACCAAAGAAGGATCCTATCCCTTCGAAAGACATGGAGAATGCTTCAGATTGGCTAGTTAGTGACCCTGGAATTGAGGAGGTCTTCCCTGGGGAGGGGTTTGTGTCACAACCCCACCCCTAAC